TTCCACGGTTCCAACTCAATCAGCTTCTTCAGTACATGTTCGGCCAGCTTGGTGTCTCGGTGGAGCCTACACCCACCAAGCGACGCGCCCCAAACAATGGTATTTGGCTCCATAGGCATATCTTTGATCAAATTATGGGCCTCTTCCAAATGAACTGCACGGCCGAGGAGATCCACCATACATCCATAATGCTCTATTGAAGGAGGCAAAGAAAATACATTGACCATGCTCTTGAAGTATTGCCAGCCCTCATATATCAGATTGCGTGCGTGCGTGCGCAAAGCAAACTCATGAATGTTTGTGTTGAGGCACAAGTTTGATATTTTGTCAAGATCAAGCAATTGATATTTTTATTTGAAAAGGAGATTGTTAGGATAATCAAGCATATGCGGACTGACAATAGCAGAATGTTAAGACAATCATCTAGTTGAGAGCTTTGATCGAAAAGAAGATTAGTTCGGAGTTATTAAAGGAATTCTGCATGACGAAAAGCATAGTGAGACAAGCACTAGTGCTAATGAATCACAATACGTTGCAGAGTTGATAAGCATAATGTTTCTAGAGACAACCCATAAATTGCTCTTTAGTGCTGGTATAGCTACGAGATTTTCTGGCAGATGCGTTTTGTACAACAAGTTACATGGTTAATAGATCTCCATTGACTACGATTGGATATTTGACTACCGAACAAGTGCGGTCAGGTAACATTTCTAATTATTCTATTTTTAGAGTATTTGGGTGATCGTGTTATGTTTGAGTGAGTGATGGTAAGCTTGATGGAAGGGTAAGAAAGTGCATTCCTAGTTATGCACAAGGTGAACAGTGTTATCGGTTGTGGTACCCAAAATTAAATTCACCTGTTATCAATAGAAAAGTTACATTTAATAAGTTTCTAGTACTTCTGAGTAGGAGTGGCTGTGACGGTGTTTATACTAATTTGGACGGTGTTCAATTCAAGATGGAGTTGCAATTAGAAATTTATAAGGTAGTGGGTACTTACACAATAATTGACACAGATGATACTTGTAGCGAGGTGGAACCTATAGGGCCAAAGGTTGCTGTAATTGTTGAGTTTGACAAAGTGCGGGTTTGATCTTCAATGGATGCAACATGGTTTTGCTTTATTTATGGTAGATAAAGTTATATATGTAAATCATTGTGGAGTAGCTAAAGGTGCAGGTAGAGTTAGTGTTTTGATAATGTTGATAGTTATGGCGAAGTTCAACCAAGGTTTATGGGAAAGTTCGAATTTTTCGGCGAAGCGATTGTGACTTAAACGTCGAGTCAAGATGAAGATTATTGAAAATATATTTCGAGTTTGAGCCTGAAAAGAAAACTTTCCTAATATAAGTAGATTTCCTAGTGTGAGTAGTTTCCTAAAAGGGTTTCCTATTTTGGATCCATACCTATTCTCTATAAGAAATGGGTCTTCTTTGTGAAGAGTATCTAAGAGGTTGCTTCTTCGTGCAATCCCAGAGTTTTTGAAGCGGTGAAAATCTTGGGGGTAAGATTTTGCATAGTTCTTTAGTGAGATTGAGAAATTATTTCATAAAAAATTGTGAAAGCTAAACGTGTGAGTTATTGAGTTTAAATAGGGGATGAAAAATACTAAGGCTACGCATTGCAACTTGCCAAATAGTGTTTGATTCTGCTCTTTTGTTCTCAGAATCAGTTTGAGAATAGAAATCCGTTTGTTTAATTTTTTGATTTTGGGCACAAATTCTTGCAAATTTGTGCCCAAAATCGTTTTAGAGAGAATGAAGAATAAAAAAGTAGCTTTCTTGATTCGGGAACAAAAATGAGAATCGCTTTTTTTCTTCTTCTTTTTCTTGGTTTAAAAAAGTAGCTTCTAATGTCCAGTACAGGGCCACCTCGCCAGTATCCAGCAAGATTAAAATATTTTAATAAAAAATATTATTAATAAAAAAATTACCGGCCATGGCCAGCGACCAGGCCATGGCGAAAAAAATAAAAAAAATATTATTAATAAAAAAAATGGGAAAATTTCGATTAAGGACCCCAAGTGAGGTCAAATTCTCAAAAGAAGGCCCAAAGTGAATATAGTGACAAATAAAAGGCCGATATCATTTCCATTTTAAGGACCGAAGTGCTTCAAAAGTCTCGAAAATAAATTCCCGTCCAAAATTCCTTCGTCAGAATGTTACTATTCCGTACCAGAGCAGTAAATTTTTTTGTTTTTTTTTTATTTTTTCTTTTCTGTTTTTTTCTTTTTCTTTTCTTTTTTTTTCTTCTCTTCCTCCGTCGGGGCCATAGCTTGCAGAGGTCGCAGACTCAGCGAGCGTCGCCGAGCGAGGGCTCGACCTCGCCGCAGTCGGCCGAGGCCTTGCCGATTGCGAGACCGGGTACGCCTCGCCGACGCCACGAGAGGTCGAGCCTCGCCGGATCTAATGAGGCTCGACCTCGCCGCGTCGGCGAAGGTCTTGCCGTGGTTTGAGGAGACCGGCCTCGCCCGACATCCGAGATCGAGCCTCGCCGGCAATATGAGGCCGACCCCGCCCAACCCCTGCAGCCGAGGCCGCGGTCCTCGCTCGGCGTGGGCGGCCTCAACCGAGGCCAGGCGACCTTCGCGCAGAATTCCTATGAGCCGCCAAAGAAGGAAGAGAAGAAAAAAAAAAGAAAAGGAAAAGGAAAAGAAAAAAAACAGAAAGGAAAAAATAATAAAAAAATAAAATTTTTACTGTCCTATGCCGAAATAGTAATATTCTCGCCGACCGACGGGCATTTTTCAGCTCCTGCGACCCAGCCCTTATTTGAGACTTTTGGGCACTTCGGGTCCTTATTTGAGATCGATGTACTTTTGCCCTTATTTGATATTATGTTCACTTTGGGCCCTCTTTTGAGAATTTGACCCCACTTGGGGTCCTTAATTGAAATTTTCCCAAAAAAAATTTTACCGGACATGGCCAGCGACCAAGCCACGGCGAAAAAAAATATTATTAATAAAAAAAATTTTACCGGCCATGGCCAGCAACCAGGCCATGGCGAAAAAAATAAAAAAAATATTTTCAATAAAAATATTTTTATTAAAATATTATTTATAAAAAATTATTTATAAAAAAAATATTTTACCGGCCATGACCAGTGACCAGGCCATGGCGAAAAAAAAAGAAAAAAATATTTTCAATAAAAATATTTTTTAGTAAAATATTTTAAAAAAATTATTAATAAAAAAAATTTATAAGAAAATTTTTTACCGGCCATGGCCCAAAAAAATAAAAAAATTATTTTTAATAAAAATATTATTAATTAAAAAATATTTTACCGGTCATGGCCAAGAAGGAGGAGAAGAAAAAAAGAAAATAAAGAAATATTAAAATATTTAAAATGTTATTAAAATATTATTAATAAAAAAAAATTTATGCCGTTACCAAACGCATTTCTGTTCTTTTACTATTTCAGGAATAGAAATTTTGGACCGTTACCAAACGCCTTCAAATGCTCAGAATCAGTTCCCAGGCACAGAATAAAAAAGAATCATTTCTGACCATAATATGTTCCCGGGCACAGATTGGTTGTCATGCGCAGTAAAAGTGCTTAAATGGCTCGAGTATAGTTGTAATATATGTTGTACCGCTTGATCTATAATGGAATTCCGTGCTGCTCTTCTGTGGACCATGGACTTAGGTCACGCCGATCGAACCACATAAATATGATGTTTGATTTATTTATTTTTTATGTTTATTGTTCGATCGCTTGTTTTAAACAACAATAGTTATGTTTTATTTTCTTTTTTCACGATTTTCAAATAGTACCTATTTCTCCTTTTAGTTCGACACTTTATTTTTGTTGATTATTCATCCAAAAAATTGCCAAGTGATTTAATAGAGAGGAATATACAGAAATAGCTGATTCAAAAAACTAAAAATAAAATGTTAAAAGAGAGGGCAAAAGCCACAATAACTCTAAACTATGTCAACTGTGACATATTTATCCCCAACTTTTTTCTATAACACAAAAAATGCCAAACTTGTACTTGTATGACACATTTACCCTTTGTCAAAGTTCTGTAAATGAGAACCGTTAAAAATCTGCCTAGATGGACGCAAAAAGCAAACGGTATTGATATGGCGTCCACGTGACTTAAGTGAAATAAAAAACGACATTATTTTGGCTGAAAAATCATCTAATGGAACCTTGACGAAGGGTAAATGTGTCGCATAGGTATAAATTTGAGCTTTTTTATGTCACAAGAAAAAGTTTATGATAACTGTGTCGTGGTTGACATAATTTGGGGTTTTTAATATCACAAAAAATATCCAATTTAAATGTTTCATAGTGGGTATATTTTGGGGTTTTCCGTGGTTTTTTCCCTGAAAGAGAGCTTGTTTTTCTTTTTTAACGAGAAAGGACCGATTATTCAGCCAAAATAGAGAGGATAACATAACAATGGAGAAAAATAAATGGTTCAAGGAAAAAAGAAGGAAGCTTTTATTTCTTGACAAGAAAGGAGAGTCCTCTTCAAATAAATAACCCATCTAACCCGTCTCGATTGTCATCCCTTGGCCTTTCAGTTTTTACCATTTGGGGAAGAAGAAGTAGCAGAAGTCGCCATACATTAAACAACAGACGAATTGCCCCATTTCGCCTAAGGTGCATCATAAGTAATTCATGGGGGCTCTACTCGTTGTTACACCATCATTACATCTTGCAAGGATTTAAAGAAGAGAGCGAAATGCAAGAACGATGAAACATGGGGTATCAAAGAGTGAGTGGCAGGCATTATGGTAAAGTTAAGGACGAAAGTCGTTGAAAATGGAAAAGTTACAGAGAAGTGGACCACAACAGCGAGGGACGTTGATTCTGACCCGAGAGCTTTCCTACGTAAAACAAAACAGAGAACATGATAGCCACGAGGTCAAGGTCTCTGTCTCAAGCTTTCGCTTTTCTAAAAGCAAGCTTTTGCTGTTCCCCTGCTTTTAGGAAAGCAAGCTTCTCCTCGATTTAAAGTCCAACAGTGAATGGAATTTGGTACGAACTGAATACTAAGACTTAACGGATCCACTTTTCCAAGGGATGAGATCAGTAATCATCAGCTCCCCTGAAGCAAAATGTGATTCCTGTTCTGGATTCTGGACGCCTCATACGTCTTTCGTAATTATGCTGAGTCGAAACCGGCTTATGTAAAGATGGCGTCTCCTCATGTGGTGGATCCCAGGTTGGATCTTTAGAATTTGTATTGTAGACAGTGAAATGATACAAGTATCTTTAAGGACATTATTGTACGAAACTAGCCGGGATAACCCATCAAGCCTGTCTTTCTTCACATAACAATTCCATTTGTCTTCCTCACTCTCTCTGTCTCTGTGCTCTCAAATTGAACGCCATGTACAACCAAGCTCCTAATTGCCTTGTCGTCGACAACGACATCAATGACGACAATTCGGTGGTTTCTCTCCACCCAGAGACCATGAAGAAGCTCCAGCTCTTCCGCGGCGACACCATCTGTGTCAAGGTCGTGGATTTACACTTTTCCGAGATCAATTCGATTATGAGTTTCTCGTTTGGGTGATTTGTGGGTGTGTCGTGCTCTAGGGTTGCTTTGGATTGGCCTCTTGTAATCCGTTTTGAGTGTGGAACTTTTTAGAGCTTTGAGTAGCGTTTTGTTGTCTCGTGTGTCTGGGTTTTAGTAGTCTTTTTTTTTTTTTGGAGTTTTGAGGTGGATATGTGGCTGGATTGAAACCTAGAGCCTCTGCTTACGGATTTTGTGATATTATCTGAGCTTCTGCAGATTGTAATGTGGTTCGATCCTGTTGTTGGCTTTGCGCTATATCGTTTCCTGTATTCCTGCACGTGTGAGACGATTGATGCAAAAGGTCTCTTTTTTAGCTCCGACAGTCATAGTTTCCATGCCATCATGCTCAATGTTAACTCTTATAACTTGATTTCACTAAGTCGCGACTGAGCCATGTAAGCTAGTTAGTTACATTATTCATGGTGATTGAACATCTTTTCATGATAGAATTCTCTCTCTCTCTCTCTCTCAGTACTTGTGCACTTGCAGTCTCCATCTCTCTGCTGTAAAGGACATCTTTTTCAGTAGCATGACGATGTAGAGTTCAGATTGGAGGCAATGCATTGTGGTGGTCTCTAAAACGCTATCTTCTTATATCCAGGGGAAGAAAAGGAAAGATACTGTTTGCATTGCTCTTGCTGATGACACTTGCGAGGAGCCTAAGATACGGATGAACAAAGTGGTGAGACAAAACCTGAGGGTTAGACTGGGGGATGTTGTTTCTGTGCATCAATGTCGTGATGTCAAGTATGGAAAGCAGGTTCACATACTTCCTGTGGATGACACCATTGAAGGGATTACTGGAAATCTCTTTGATGCATTTTTGAAGCGTGAGTTTCTCTTTTCTATGGACTTGTAATTTATAACTGCACTGTTCTTTCTCATTTATGTTGATGTAGGAAATACTGTTTTGCTCCCTTCTTTAGCTATTGGTCCTATGTGATCAGTGCGTTCTGTAGTTATTTTTTTAAATCAAACCTACCATTTGAAGATGTATTATGAACCCTTATTTTCATGGGATTTACGTTAATGCTGTATGTAACAATAAGTGCGTGTTAAATTAAACACTCGATGAAGTAAAAAATTCATGAATACGTTAGTAACTACTGAATATTGGGAGTGCACCACATATTGGATGGCTCTGCTTGGTCCTAATGTTTTTTGGTAACAAAATCCAGTGAATACTAAAGTTGCTAGTGAACCAGACTATACCAAAACACTGGTTTGCTTGGGTTGAATATGGTCTATTTCAGTGTTCATGTTTTGTAGAGCACTTTTCTTACAGAACTTTTCTCCATACTATCTATCTATGAGAGGATTTAACTTCCTAAAAGTTATGCCTTCTGATGGCGGGTAAAGCATGCTAAAAGATCTGTGAACTACTGCTAGCCTTTGCAAGGGATGCCGGCGCTTATTTTCTTGTCAAACCATTACACCATCGACTGCATAATCATGTTAGTTTGAGCACAAACACTAAAATAGCTCACTTCTTTTTGCAAAGATGATCCTTGGATTGGATGGACAGCTTACTAACGTGATGGATTCACTCTCTGTAGCTTACTTCCTGGAGGCATATCGCCCTGTGAGGAAAGGTGATCTGTTCCTTGTTAGAGGAGGAATGAGAAGTGTCGAGTTCAAGGTTATTGAGACCGATCCTGCCGAGTATTGTGTTGTTGCCCCGGATACAGAGATCTTCTGCGAGGGAGAACCTGTGAGGAGGGAGGATGAGAATAGATTAGATGAGGTTGGTTACGATGATGTTGGTGGTGTTAGGAAGCAAATGGCTCAAATTAGGGAGCTGGTAGAGCTGCCATTGAGACATCCACAATTATTTGAATCAATTGGTGTGAAACCGCCTAAAGGAGCCCTGCTGTATGGACCTCCTGGATCTGGGAAAACCCTCATTGCTAGGGCAGTTGCAAATGAAACTGTTGCCTTCTTTGTCTTTATCAATGGACCAGAGATCATGTCAAAGGCAGCTGGTGAAAGTGAAAGCAATCTCAGGAAAGCTTTTGAGGAAGCAGAGAAATATGCACCTTCCATCATCTTTATTGATAATATCGATTCAATTGCCCCAAAGCAAGAGAAGACTCATGGAGAAGTCGAGAGCAGGATCTTTTCTCAGCTGCTAACACTCATGGATGGTTTGAAATCTCATGCCCAAGTCATGGTTATCGGAGCTACTAATCGGCCAAACAGCATTGACCCAGCTTTGAGAAGATCTCGGAGATTTGACAAGGAAATCAATATTGGAATTCCAGACGAAGTTGGGCGGCTTGAAGTCCTCCGCATTCATACAAAGAACATGAAGCTTGCTGAAGATGTACAGAATTTTCCTTTTTGTTTCCCAAGCAGTTTGTTGTGAGGGTGTCTTCTTTTTCCCCTTGGTCCTAATAATTTTATTGAATGTTGTGCAGTTTGATCTGATAAGAATTGCTGAGAGCACGCATGGCTATGTTGGTGCTGATCTGGCTGCTCTATGCACTGAAGCTGGACTTCAGTGCATCAGAGAGAAGACGGATGTCATTGATTTGAAAGATGAGTCAATTCATGCGGAGATACTCAACTCCATGGCAGTTACAAATAAGCACTTCGTAACTGCTCTTGGAGCAATCAATCCATCTGCTCTCCCTCAGACAGTAAGTATACTAGAGCTGCTCCATGGTATTATTCTCCTGCCCCTGAGTCTGAATCTAATCCCTGCACTTTTTTATCACTCAGGTGGTTGAAGTGCCAGAAGTGAGCGGGGAAGATACTGAAGGTCTTGAGAGTGTTAAAAGGGAGCTTCGAAAGGTATGGTTATTTGTGTTCTTTTGTTTTTTGTGTGTGCTTCTATCATTTGTGAGGTCTTGAGAATGTTAAAATATGTTATGTGTCACTTTTTTCGTCAGTCGAGTGTGGAAATGTATAGGTTTTGGGACCCTGTGCACCATGTCTGTGTTAGGCATGCGACAGCGAGGGGCTCGCATGAATTTCATCTCTTCACGTGATTGTTCTGGTGCTTAGTACAATTTTGTTTCCGAGGCCGTGCTGAATGGGTCATTAACCCTCTAACTAGCCATATCCGGAGATTTATACTTGTCGAAGTCATGAAAAACTGGTTCAACAGTCAACACGCAACCATTAATTAAGAAGTCACTCTTGAACACTTTGCTTTACATGATTGCGTTGTGATAAACAGAAAACCAACATCCATGAAGGCAAGTGTTGAAATCCAAGTTCTTAGTCAGTACTCAAATTGCAAGAGGCAAAGTAAAATTTCTGGAGTGGCTTGACAGTAAGATTATCAATTTAAAATTAAATAGTCTTATCCAATCACAAATGGAGTGGCTTGAAAATTTAAGATAAAACGAGCATGAAAATCAGTAACTTGCATGATGCATAGTCTGGGACATTTGGAGGGAAAAAAGAACCAAGCAAAAATGAAAGTAGTTTGGAAACAAGTGGTGATTTCTCATGAAGGATGAAACATTGTTCATGGTCCTACCAGCTGATCATGCAAAAACCTGAGCCTGGATCAGGAAACAAGTTAAACTCGTGCAGCCTGCAAATTTCACGGTCACTCTTCACATTCAATTTGCAAGTTGGGAATAAGTCGCGGAAGAAATCGACTAACCTCTCGATGCACACCCTGGAATATAGATTGAATTACCAGCGAATGATGACGAATCTACAAGTTCGCAACGGTCCGAATATAATCACGAGGAAAATATTATTATTCCATAGCGTTAATGCTAATCGTTTTCTCAAAGTAACGATGGAACATTTTGTGTGTTATATTGATAGAGAAAAAACGTAAGTTCTTTTCTGTACATGTGTCTTATCTTGTCTCTATCTTCAGGAAGTTATTTTAACTTCTCTTAGAAGACAACTCACACCCTTTCAAAGGGTGCCTCTTATATCACACTCCATCGTGGGCGAAACAGTGTCATTTAACACATGCATGTATAAAACGATGAAACCCCCGGTGCAAATCTCGCCAATCACCCTCTCCCAGTCAATCCGATCGCAAGGTGAACCCCATACTTCAGACAATGGTGCTGCTGCGCATCGTGGGATCGCACCGCAAATTGAGGTCACGCACTTCGTCACCATTCTCCACTCGAAGGAGATGTTTCGAGACGTACTTGGCGTGAAGATTGGGAGAGGCAGACTTTGGCGTAAGATGAGTTGGCGCTGCTCGACGATGAGGAGATCGGCACTGCATCTTCAGCTGGGACTCCGCGACCATGGGGCTTCGCGTGGCTTCGTTGCCCAAGGGGACAAAGATGGCTGTACGGCTCGAGTCCTCCATGGGGACCAAGGAGACGGACCAAACTCGAGAGGCGATGGGGGCCTTTGGGAACAGCTCCGTCGCTCTCTTTTGCCTCGACACTCAAATGAATGAAGACGTGTCACTCTCTGCATGTTATGTCTTTGGTGGAACCGAGATTGATGTTCAAGTCACCGTATTTAAGGAAGGTCGTTAATACGGTTGGAACATTGATGTTGAGTGAATAGGAAGGATAGGAAGTAGATAAGGGGTGTTTGAAAAAATCTAAACGATCAACTAACTATTCTAGTCTTCCAAATGGACCAAAACCAAACCGATATGGAGATAATTGAACAAATGCATCTACGAAACCAGTTGAATAATTATTCAGCAGAAACTCGAGTCTTGAGCCTCTTGAGTCATTACATTTTTCCGCCTTTCCTTGCTTCTCTTTCTCTCTGTGGACTTTGTCTATGCAGACTCTCATTCTGTCCATCTACAAACATGGCCTCGCCTTCCGCCGCTACCTCCTTGCCAGTTCCCTCTCTCTCTCTCTCTCTCTCTCTCTCTCTACACCCGGGCGCGAGTATCTTCCCCCCAACTCACCCCTCTTTCTAGTAGTAACTAGAAGTCATTATTGTGATAGCCATTCGCTGGAAGTGGTGAAGATGATGATGAAGATAGTTGGAGTGACTCCTGAGAACGTTCGACTCCTCATGCGAAATTTTTTACTGTTGCATCATCGTTGAAGAGGAAAATTGCCTATGCATTTCTTTGTTCCTTCGTGTGTATGCATCTCCCCACAACCCCCAACCCAAAGAAGAATATGTCAAAAAGGTTTCGTGTCACCCTCTCCTTCCTCACACCAGAAATTGAAGCAGGAGCATAGACTTCGGAGAACCAGCATGTAATTGCTGTGTCGGTTCATTTTTGTATATTTATATATGTTGTCGATGTATAGTGTGCCATACTTAGTATATCTCATGTGACATTACGAAGTTCTATTCAGTGGAATGATGATTCGGCTCTATGTTCATATATATCCTAGCTTGAGTGCTTCCTCTTAGGCTTTTTATTCCTCGTTTTTTGGACCTCTGTAGAATGCGAAGCTTGCACACTCTTTCGGCGTGCCGAACCGATGCACCGATGCTTTGGCAAAGCACACGGTGTGCCTCAGACCGATGATATCATCTTTTTTACTACTGTTCCTAGTTTTTTACTGTCATTTTATCATATGGACCTTTTGGAAACTAGTTTAACTCGTTATGTAACTGATGCATGATTTTAGTCTTAATGTATTTCCCCTTTAGAGCCGAAAGGAAAGAAATAAAAAAAGAAGGGAGCTGTTGCTGGGAGTAGGTTAGCCTAGGAGGTTGACTCCACCTAATTTGTGAATTGCTTGTAGAAGATGCGGATTAGCCAGTAATTCAGAAACTAAAACGAGGAAGCTACCGTATCCCGTCCCTTTTCCTATATAGAAATGTGTTCATGCTTGACGCATCTACCATTTACAATTCAGTTGAAGCCTCTCTGCGATATGGTGATATGTAGGCACATTTGACATCTAAAACTCTGGCAGGGACAAAAATGCTTCTCGACGGGGATATCACAAGAGAGCTCGCACTGTACTCAAAAAGTTCTGGTTGAATTCAAGGTCACTAGAAACTTTGGGCCAATGAATCATGGGTAAACCTCTGGCCCCAAAAACAAGGGCAAACTCAGTAAATGAATTGCTGCACTTATCTCCATATTTATTCTCTGTGGTGCAAGCCCACTTCGCCTCACAATACATCATAGCAGCCCACGAATAGAGTAAATTTTAACCGTCAAAGCAAACTAAGAAGAAGCATTGTGCCCGAAAAAGAACAAAAAATGAGAAGAAAAACAGTACCTTGACTTTTGAAGAAATGGATTGCTAGGATCTACCTGTGCATTGGCCCTTCCGGCCTAAGAGAACAAAAGGAAAGTGTGAGGATTAGTTCCTTTTTTTTTTTGGTGTTACTAAATGAAAGTTTTCATCTACTTTCGAACATGGGTTGTGCCCTTTCTCCTCAGCCGTGCCACTAAACCAACGTCCGATGAATCGACTAGAAGAGCTGTGCTGCTGCGAAATTGATCAAGTCTTTCTCTCAAGGCTGAAGAGAATCAGTTGCTAAGAGATCTTACACAAATAACATGTCAGACACCATAACCATTGATTCTGTTAGTGTTTCTGTAGCCAATTCATATGCCACTTCACCAGTAATCTCTGCATGAACAAGAGCCATCAATGAAACAATGAAATCGGTTATTATCCCTAACAATGATCTCTCTACGGGTGATCTTAGAAATAAGCTTGAGTGCTTGATGACAATCGCCGCATACTCGGAGGTTCTTCACCACTCGAATGACCACATTTGGGCCTGTGCTTATCAGACCAAATGCAACAGCCAGCTTCTCGCTATGCCAACTCAGGATATGCTCCTTCTCCTCCTCTTCTATGTCGAACAACACAAACTCAGTTGTAGGAACATAACCGGCTGCTTTCAATTCGTTAGCCAGTTCCTCGAGCTTTGCGTATATTTCCTTTGACATGGGATGAGACTCATCTCCAACAAGGAATTCATGGACGATACCATCTACTTCAATCCAACTACATCCAGGTACTTTTTGGATCCCTTGATTATTCATTCTCGACCTAATGTCAGCTGCATCGTCCCATCTATGGCTTGCGGAGTAAATATTGGATAAGAGAACGTAATTACCTGAATTCCACGGTTCCAACTCAATCAGTTTCTTCAGTACATGTTCTGCCAGCTTGGTGTCTTGGTGGAGCCTACATCCACCAAGCAACGTGCCCCAAACAATGGAATTTGGTTCCATAGGCATATCTTTGATCAAATTATGGGCCTCTTCCAAATGACCTGCACGGCCAAGGAGATCCACCATACATCCATAATGCTCTATGGTAGGAGGCAAAGAAAATACTTTGGCCATGCTCTTGAAGTATTGCTGGCCCTCATTTACCAGACCAGCGTGCGTGCATGCGCAAAGCAAACCCATGAACATGTTCCCATCAGGCCGAACCCCAAGCTTCTCCACTTGGCCAAACAATCCAAATGCAGGTTTGACATGCCCATTCATGGCAAGGCCGGTTATGGCAGCGTTCCAGACCACTCCATCCATCTCTCTCATTTCTCTGAAAAATCCCCAGGCTCGAGCCATGTTTCCGCATTTCGCAAACATGTCGATCAATGCTGTGCCCAAGATGGGATTATCCAGAAACTCATTTCTGTCTATTAAGTTGCTGGCCCAACAGCCAAACTCCAGCGCTCCCAATTGAGCGCAAGCATTGAGTAACCCAACCATGACATAACAATCAGGCCTCAAGTTCTCCCTCTGCATTTGGGAAAAGATGTTCAAAGCCTCTCTAGGTAGGCCGTGAGATGCATAACCTTGAACCATGATACTCCAAGGGACTACATCCTTTTCGGGCATCGTATCAAACACGTAACGCGCCTTCTCCATGTTCCCGCACTTGGCATACATATCCAGTAATGAGGTAGCAACAAAAACATTCTTTTCCATGCCACTGCTTGTCACATATCTGTGTATCCACTCTCCACTGCGTACATCCCCCATACGCGAACACGCAGACACCACCTTAACGAGGGTAACACAATCCGGCCTCAGACCCATTTCCAACATCCTCCTAAACATATCGACCGCCTCCCCAAACCTCTCGAACTCGATATAACCAGTTAT